AGGGAGGAAGAGAGAAAGAAAGAAGCAAGAAAAGAAGGAAGGAAGGAAGGGAGGGAGGGAGGGAGGGAGGAAGGAAGGAAGGAAGGAAGGAAGGAAGGAAGGAAGGAAGGAAAGAAAGAGGAGAAGAAAGAAGTAAATAAAGAAGAAAAGAAAGAAGCCTTGCCCAAGAGGCACCATTTGAGTCAGACTTACAAACATGAATGAGGTTGCATTAACACTCTAAGGTAGTTAAAGTGGAGGGTGGGAAGGCAGGGATGCAAAGGAAATATACTAAGAAGGGTTGGGATCCAGATGAAAGGGATAATGCTGGAAAGGTAGGATTTAGGGCCAAATAGTGAAAAAATTCAAATGTCAACTTTTAAGCAATGTAAAACAAAAACATTTTAAAGCTGGGTAATAAAAAGATTATGTTTTTACAAGTGATGCTGGTGGCAGTAAGTTAGATGAATTAGAAAAAAGTATTACCCTAATATGCATTACTTGCATGTATTCCAAAATGAGGTCATTTCAAACAACTAATCACAGGAGATTGTGGAAGGGGGATATGTGTTCTGAAATCAGTAGGTTTTAGAAATGCTGCATGTATACGTATTAGCATTCTATACATATATATCTGAGATATAATACATTTTGTAAAGGAAATTTTTAAGCTGTTTAATTTTCAAGTTGTTTAATCCAATCTTTAAGTTGTAGCATTCTAAATATTTACTGTGTTCATTCACTCAAGATACACGTCAAAACTTCCTAAGTTTAAATATTTCAAAATATGAATCCAGAGTTTCTCGCCTCATGATTTTTTTCTACCACTTAATCAGATGCTTTAATTCTACCTCAACATCATACTTAACAGAGCTATTCATCATAAAGTTTTCATATAGGGTAACACCAATATTTTAAAATTTCTACACTGTAATAAAAGCATAGTAGAAAAATATTTTTCTGCTTCTATACATTGTTTCTTTTAAAAACACAATTTCAGGATTTTATGACCAGACCCCTGCTAAGAAAACACTGAGAAGGCAGGAATGAATTGTTTTGCAGGAAGAGGAACAAAAGAGTATGATATCAGTTAGGGGATACAATTTGTCACCCTCAAATACGCGACTGTCAGAGGCTTCTGAATCAGAGAAACTCCATCTTGAAGAGGAGTAAGGTAAAATAAGGCTGAGACCTAGGGGGCTGCATTCCCAGACAGGCAATCTAAGTCAAAGGTGAGGTAGGGGGTTGGCTCAAGAAGAGGTCATAACGATCTTGCTGATAAAAAAGGTTGAAGTCAAGAAGCCAGCTAAAAACCCCCAAACCAAAATGGCAAAGTGAGTGACCTCTGGTCACCCTCACTGCTTATTACATGCTAATTATAATGCAATAGCATGCTAAGAGACACTCCCACCGTGACAATTTTCAAACGCCATAGCAACGTCAGGAAGTTACCCTATGTGATCTAAAAGGGGGAGGCATGAATAATCTACCCCTTGTTTAATCTACATACTTAAGAAATAACCATAAAAATGGGCAACCACCAGCCCTCAGGGCTGCTGTGCCTATGGAATCGCCATTCTTTTATTCCTTTGCTTTCTTAGTAAACCTGCTTTCACTTCTACTCTATGGATCTGCCTCAGGTTCTTTCTTGCATGAGATCCAAGAACACTTTCGGGGTCTGGATCAGGACCCCTTCCTGGTAACAGTATGAAAGTAAAATCAGGCAGCAATATTTGCTGTTCTGCAGCCTCTGCTGGTGATACAAGCAAACAGGGTCTGGAGTGGATCTCCAGCAAACTCCAGCAGACCTGCAGCAGAGGGCTGACTGTTAGAAGGAAAACTAACAAACAGAAAGGAATACTAATCAACATCAACAAAAGACAGCCACTCAGAGACCCCATTCAAAGGCCACCAACATCAAAGACCAAAAGTAGATAAAGCCACGAATATAGGGAGAAACCAGCACAAAAAGGGTGAAAATTCCAAAACCAGAATGCCTTTTCTCCTCCAAAGGATCACAAGTCCTCGCCAGCAAGGGCACAAAACTGGACATGAACTGACAGAAGTAGGCTTCAGAAAGCACGTAATAACAAACTCCTCCAAGCTAAAGAAGCATGTTCTAAACCAAAGCAAGGAAGCTAAGAACCTTGAAAAAAGGTTAGACAAATTGCTAACTAGAATAACCAGTTTAGAGAAGAAAATAAATGACCTGATGGAGCTGAAAAACACAGCCTGAGAACGTCATGAAGCATACACAAGTATCAATAGCCGAATCAATCAAGTGGAGGAAAGGATACCACAGATTCAAGATGAACTCAAAGAAGTAAGGTGAGAAAACAAGATAAGAGAAAAAAGAATGAAAAGGAATAAACAAAGTCTCAAAAAAACATGGGACTATGTGAAAAGACCAAACCTATATTTGACTGGAGTACCTGAAAGTGACGGGGAGAATGGAACCAAGTTGGAAAACGCATTTCAGGATGTTACCCAGGAGAACTTCCCCAACCTAGCAAGACAGGCCAACATTCAAATTCAGGAAATACAGATAACACCACAGAGATACTCCTCAAAAAGAGCAACCCCAAGGCACATAATTGTCAGATTCACGAAGGTTGAAATGAAGGAAAAAATGTTAAGGGCAGCCAGAGAGAAAGGTCTTGTTACCCACAAGGGGAAGCCCATCAGACTCACAGTGCATCTTTCTGCAGAAACCCTACAAGCCAGAAGAGAGTGGGGGCCAATATGCAACATCCTTAAAGAAAAGAATTTTCAACCCAGAATTTCATATACAGCCAAACGAAGCCTCATAAGCAAAGGGGAAATAAAATCCTTTACAGACAAGAAATGGTGAGAGATTTTGTCACCACCAGGCCTGCCTTGCAAGAGCTCCTGAAGGAAGCACTAAACATGGAAAGGAAAAACCAGTACCAGCCACTGCAAAAGCATACAAAATTGTAAAGACCATTGACACTATAAAGAAACTGTATCAACTAACAGGCAAAATAACCAACTAGCATCATAATGGCAGGATCAAATTCACATATAACAATATTAACATTAAATGTAAATGGGCTAAATGCCCCAATTAAAAGAGACTGGCAAACAAGATAAAGAGTCAAGACCCATCAGTGTGCTGTATTCAGAAGACACACTTTACATGCAAAGACACACATACACACTCAAAATAAAGGGATGGAGGAGTATTTACCAAGCAAATGGGAAGCAAAAAAAAAAAAAAAAAGAAGGGGTTGCAATCCTAGTCTCTCATAAAACAGACTTTAAACCAACAAAGATCAAAAGAGACAAAGAAGAGCATTACATAATGGTAAAGGGATCGGTGCAACAGGAAGAGCAAACTATCCTAAATATATATGCACCCAATGCAGGAGCACCCAGAGTCATAAAGCAAGGCCATAAAGACCTACAAAGAGACATAGACTCCCACACAATAATAGTGGGAGACTTTAACACTCCACTGTCAATATTAGACAGATCAATAAGACAGAAAATTAACAAGGATATCCAGGATTTGAACTCAGATCTGGACCAAGTGGACCTAATAGACATCTACAGAACTCTCCACCCCAAATCAACAGAATATACACTCTTCTAAGCATCACATTGCACTTATTCTAAAGTTGACCACATAACTGGAAGTAAAACACTCTTCAGAAAATGCAAAAGAATGGAAATCATAACAACCAGTCTCTCAGACCACAGTGCAATCAAATTAGAACTCAGGATTAAGAAACTCATTCAAAACCACACAACTACATGGAAACTAACAATCTGCTCCTGAATGACTACTGGGTAATGAAATTAAGGCAGAAATAAATAAGTTCTTTGAAACCAATGAGAACAAAGACATAACATACAAGAATCTCTGGGACACATTTAAAGCAGTATCTAGAGGGAAATTTATAGCACTAAATGCCCACAAGAGAAAGCAAGAAAGATCGAAAATCGACACCCTAACATCACATGTAAAAGAACTAGAGAAGCAAGAGCAAACAAATTCAAAAGCTAGAAGAAGCCAAGAAATAACTAAGATTAGAGCAGAACTGAAGGAGATAGAGACATGAAAACCCCTTCAAAAAATCAGTGATTCCAGAAGTTGTTTTTTTTTTTAAAAGATCAACAAAATAGAGTGCTAGCCAGAATAATAAAGAAGAAAATAGAGAAGAATCAAATAGACACAATGAAAGTTATAAAGGGGAGATCACCACTGATCCCACAGGAATACAAACTACCATCAGAGAATACTATAAACAACTCTATGCAAATCAACTAGAAAATCTAGAAGAAACGGATAAATTGTGGACACATACACCCTCCCAAGGCTAAACCAGGAGGAAGTCAAATCCCTGAATAGACCAATAACAAGTTCTGAAATTGAGGCATACCAACCAAAAAAGTCCAGGGCCAGATGGGTTCACAGCTGAATTCCACCAGAGGTACAAAGAGGAGCTGACGTCATTCCTTCTGAAAGTATTGCAAATGAAAGAAAAAGAGGGACTTCTCCCTAACTCATTTTATGAAGCCAGCAGCATCCTGATACCAAAGCCAGAAAGACACACAACAACAACAAAAAAGAAAATTTTAGGCCAATATCCATGATGAACATTGATGAAAAAGTCCTTAATAAAATACTGGCAAACCAAATCCAGGGGCACATCAAAAAGCTTCATCATGATCAAGTCGGCTTGATCCATGGGATGCAAGACAGGTTCAACATATATGGATCAATAAGTGTAATCCATCACATAAACATAATCAATGAAAAAAAATCATACAATTATCTCAATAGATGCAGAAAAGTTCTTCGACAAAATTCAACAGCCCTTCATGCTAAAAACTCTTGATAAACTTGGTATCAATGGAACATATCTCAAGATAATAAGAGCTATTTATGACAAACCCACAGCCAAAACCATACTGCATGGTCAAAAACTGAAAGTACTTCCTTTGAAAACTGTCACAAGAAGAGGATGCCCTCTCTCACCACTTCTATTAAACACAGTATTGGAAGTTCTGGCCAGAGCAATTAGGAAAGGAAAAAAAATAAAGTGTATTCAAATAGAAAGAGAGGAAATCAAATTGTCTCTGTTTGCAGATGACATAATTCTATACATTGAAAACCCCATCATCTCAGCCCAAAACCTTCTTAAGTTGATAAGCAACTTCAGCAAAGTCTCAGGATACAAAATCAATGTGCAAAAGTTGCAGGCATTCCTATACACCAGTAACAGACAAACAGAGAGCCAAATTATGAGAGAACTCCCACTCACAATTGCTACCAAGAGAATAAAATACCTAGGAATACAACTTACAAGGGAAGTGAAGAACCTCTTCAAGGAGAACTACAAACCACTGCTCAAGGAAACAAGAGAGGACACAAACAGATGGAAAAACATTCCATGCTCATGGATAGGAAGAATCAATATCATGAAAATGGCCATACTGCCAAGAGTAATTTATAGATTCAATGCTATCCCCATCAAGCTACCATTGACTTTCTTCACAGAATTAGAAAAAACTACTTTAAATTTTATATGTAACCAAAAAAGAGCCAGTATAGCCAAGACAATCCTAAGCAAAAAGAACAAAGCTGGAGGCATCACGTTACCTGACTTCACGCTATACAAGTCTACAGTAATCAAAACAGCATGGTACCAGTACCAAAACAAATATATATCAATGGAACAGAACAGAGGCCTCAGAAATAACACCACACATCTACAACCATCTGATCTTTGACAAACCTGACAAAAACAAGCAATGGAGAAAGGATTCCCTATTTAATAAATGGTGTTTGAAAAACTGGCTAGCCATATGCAGAAAACTGAAACTGGACCCCTTCCTTACACCTTATACAAAAATTAACTCAAGATGGATTAAAGACTTAGATGTAAAACCTAAAACCATAAAAACCCTGGAAGAAAACCTAGGCAATACCATTCAGGACATAGACATGGACAAAGTCTTTACAACTAAAACACCAAAAGCAATGCCAACAAAAGCCAAAATTGACAAATAGGATCTAATTAAACTAAAGAGCACAGCAAAAGTAACTATCGTCAGAATGCACAGGCAACCTATAGAATGGGAGAAAAATTTTGCAATCTATCCATCTGACAAAGGGCTAATATCCAGAATCTACAAAGACCTTAAACAAATTTATAAGAAAAAAAAAAATCAAAATGTGGGCAAATGATATGAATAGACACTTCTCCAAAGGAGACATTTATGCAGCCAACAAACATGAAAAAATACTCATCATCACTGGTCATTACAGAAATGTAAATAAAAACTGCAATGAGATACCATCTCACACCAATTAGAATGGCAATTGTTAAAAAGTCAGGAAACAACAGATGCTGGAGAGGATGTGGAGAAATAGGAATGCTTTTACACTGTTGGTGGGAGTGTAAGGCATTTCAACTATTGTGGAAGACAGTGTGGTGATTCCTCAAGGATCTAGAGCCAGAAATGCCATTTGATCCAACAATCCCATTACAGGGTATATACTCAAAGGATTGTAAATCATTCTACTATAAAGGCACATGTATACGTATGTTTACTGCAGCACTATTCACAATAGCAAAGACTTGGAACCAACCCAAATACCCATCAATAATAGACTGGGTAAAGAAAATGTGGCACATATACACCATGGAATACTATGCAGCCATAAAAAAGGATGACTTCATGTCCTTTGCAGGGACATGGATGAAGCTGGAAACCATCATTCTCACCAAACTAACACAGGAACAGAAAACCAAACACACACCACAATGTCTCACTCATAAGCGGGAGTTGAACAATGAGAACACATGGATACAGGAAGGGGCACATCACACAATCAGGGCCTATCAGGGGCTGGGGGATTAAGGGAGGAATAGCATTAGGAGAAATATTTAATGTAGATGACAGGTTCAAAGGTGCAGTAAACCACCATGGCATGTGTATACCTATGTAACAAACCTGCACATTCTGCACATGTACCACAGAACTTAAAGTATAATAATGATAATAAAAGAAATCAGAAGAAAGCAAAAAAAATAAAAAGTAAAATTTAAAAAAAAATCAAACCCACTTGTAACTGCTGCTAATTGGAGTATATATATTAGGGCAACTTGGATCTATAATCCCAGGTTGTAATCCCCAAGGTTGGCCCAAAGGAACTCTCTGCTTACATTAAGTTTGCTTGAGCTTCTTCCTTGTAGGTCAACAGCTTAATGTTTGAAAGCAATGAGAAGTTCAGAAATCGTATTACCAGGCCTGGGCGCAGTGGCTCATGCCTGTAATACCAGCACTGTGGGAGGGTGAGGTGAGCAGGTCGCCTGAGGTCAGGAGTTCAAGACCAGCCTGGCCAACATGGTGAAACCTGGTCTCTACTAAAAAAAATATAAAAATTAGCTGGGCGCGGTGGCAGAAGCCTGTAATCCCAACTACTCGGGAGGCTAAGGCAGATGAATTACTTGAACCTGGGAGGCGGAGGTTGCAGTGAGCCAAGATCACGCCATTGCACTCCAGCCTGGGTGACAAGAGTGAAACTCTGTCTCAAAAAAAAAGAAAGAAAGAAAGAAAGAAATAGTAATATCAGCATTAAAAATTAAGAGAACCTCATAGTTCAGATTGGTTCTCCTTTGTCCCTCCTTGGGAAGTATAAACCATTTTGCTGATAAAATGTTGGTGACTTACAGAAATTGAAAATATAGCCAAAATTAAATCACACCCAGATTTCGGAATTTAAACTCCCAGTAGCCTGAGCTGCTTGCCAGATACATTTCCACAGAGTAGATGGAATTCAACTGCATCTTCTCACCTGCCTTCTTTTCTCCTGAATTCCTTCTCTTTCTCAAATCTTCCTACTTTTACTCCCCACTATTTCATTCATTAATGATTTACCAAAAACAGTCTCCTAATTTACCTCTGAAAATAACAAGAGATAACATGTGGTCTGTGTTATCAGTGCACTATTCCCCCTTTCTGTGTCATTATTGGTGGCTCAGCTTCAAAAGTGAAACTTTATTGTCCTCTAGGTTTCTTTTCTGACTCTCCTCTTGTTCCTTGGCTATTCATGGAGGTTCATTTCCCTACTGTAACTTACTCCAGAGAGCAGACACATTAAATCCAAGGGACCTTGGACAGCCATGTGTAAGTCAGGGCATTGGCGTTATTGCCAGAACAGCATCTACTGACTCTTGTTCTACAATTCAGAGATGACAGGATCCAGTGTTTGGAGTTACAACAGTACAAGCAAATAATCTTCACCACATTTTCAAATGGATATAGAGTCAGCTTTCAAAAATGCTTACCAAAACTACTGAATACTGCTACTAAAGTGGCTTTCAAATAGCAATGCAATTTACATTTGGGATAATGAGTTAAACACAAAAGAGAAAAATACAGCTGAAATTACAAGGGCCAAGCTACTTTACCAAAGCACAGTTATCGATGTCTTGATCCCTCTTCTGCATCTGTTCTATTGTGTTCTCCCACTGTTTAATGAGTTCTTGTCTTTCATTATGAATCTTACGAAAATCTTGCGCTGCTTTATCCAATTCTAACTGTCAAACAGAGAGCAAACAACATTTCTGTGAATTTAAGTGGTTTCGCAAACAGCACCTTTAAAATTAGGAAATAAAAATCTTCCTTAAACTAACCTGTGCACTTATAGTCTCTGTAAGTTCATTGTCAAGTATCTTTCTTTTCTGATTACGTTCCAAAGTTAGTCTCTCTAATTGCAGAGTCAGTGCCTATGACGTGATAACATACAAGGATATTTATAATTCTCATCAATTAACTTAAAAATTAGTAGATCTAACATTAAATGGTATTACACTCTACATATACATTTATTTAGTATCTAAAACAACTATGAAATAATAAATATCTTCCTTATCTTTTAACCCCCAAAAGCTAATCTAATGTGTTTGCCTACAGCAGCATAAAAACCTCAGTTGTTTCTAAAATGACTTTTAATACTTTTAAAGTAAATTAGAAAAAGATTAAGTTAAAATTTGCTATTTGAAAGTTTTAAGATGATGGATTTATTAAATCTACTAGAAAATAACGTTTCATAATACCAACTTTAGTGTCACCAGATATAAGTAGATTTTAAGTGATTCTTATAATCAATAGCAACAGTCTCAAATCAGCAAAAACTACATGTAATATTCAAACTACATTTTAGGCAAAATAGCCAAAACATATTAAAATAGTTCAGTAGAAAACTTTCTCTTCTGAAACACTTCTGAGCATCCTTATAAATCAGGGTATTTTTAACCTGTGGTCCATGGATTCTCAAATAATCTGAGCGAATCAGAAAATCTGTAAAACAGTCAGCAGTATTTTATGGGTATTTGAATATAGTCATTTTTTCTACAGAGAAGACATTTGGCTTTATTAGTTTCTCCAAGAAGCTTCTGACTCAGAAGTTTAAGAATTGCTGCCTTAAAAATCATAAGCACAACTTTAGGTAAACAGGTTGGCATACTACAGATTTAGAGAAAACCTAAGAGTTACAGCTTGTAATTCCTCACCCTGATTTTATTATCATCTTGTTGTGCATACTTCTGAAGCGTGAGCGCGTCACTATCTCTATGAGCTGATTCTTCCAACCAGGCCTCCAGTGCCTGCTGGTCCCAGTTCATCTGGCATTTCAAACCATCCAGTTTTTGAGTGGCTTTAAATATGCCATTCTAATTTCCAGAGAGAGAGAGAGAGAAGGGGAGATTTCAAATCATTATTTACTATACAAACTGAAATAAAACATACCTTTATATACTATAGAGCATAATTTAAAAAGAAGAAATCCTGTCCCTGCCTTCCAGATGTTTATAATATGCCGTATTTTAATTATATAACTATTACACTTACATCTTAATTCTTTCATTGAAAAACAGAGGAGAGATGACTAGACAAAGTCAAGAACAGTAGCTGAGCCAGAGTCTGCTTTGAAAGGCTTTAGGCTTTAAGGTAGCTCCCTCACGGCAATTGCATTCATCATTCCACCAAAGCCACCCCACACACACATGCAATCAAAGTTAAAATAATACGTATGGTACGCTAACTCAAATCCAAGACAAGTGTCCTTCAGCCCCATTTCCAATTATATCGTTTGCCCCTAAGAAGACTCTTAGAGACCAATTTTGGACGCACTTCTAACTGAAGTAACTAAAGTAAAAGAGATAAAAACATTTCTGTACATTTAGTCATTTAAAAAATCTAGACTCATAAAGAAACAGAGGCTACATAAACAAATTAGTATGTAATTATACACAAATACATCACAGAATATGTATGTGTATGTATACGTATATATGTATATGTATCTGCTATGTACATGCACACGTAAAGAGAAGAATCAGAATTTGGAAAGAGGTCCCAAATCAATTAACTATAAACTAAAGAAAAGAGAGTAATAGGTTAAAATAGTTTAATGTTGGAGTCACAAAACTGATAAATCAATATGAAAAGTCAACACTTCAAATGAAATTCAAAACTAAAAGTGATTGTTTTTAATGTGGCCGTTAAAAATATAACACATATAAACCATGGCTAGTATTTTACAACAGGTAAGAAGCATGATACTTTGCAAACAAGCCTCAATAAGTAGCTGGTGAATGAATAATGGGGAAGCTGTAATATTCTACTACTGTTTCATTCAAATGACAGCTCCATGTGCCTTTCATGGTCCGAAACATATGTAAATAAACACTAGGAAACTAATGTATGCCTTTCCCATACAGGAAAAAAAAAAAAAGTCAATGCTCATTTGGTGACAGAAGAATAAGCAGAAGAATTCTGAGTAATTTAAGTAAGTAATAGAATTTTAAGTAATATTTCAACAGATACTTCTTTGTCAGTTTTCTTTTCCAGTATTGAGGCCATCTCATTTTCCAGACATCGAATTTCTTCTTTCACTCGTCCTAGTTCTCTTTGCGCAATGGCCTTAAAATGTTCTTCACTTTCAGTCTCACGCTCCCTTGCTTTGCAAAAAGACTGCAGAGTAACATACAAGATAAAAAGGCTTTTAAAATTTCAGAAATTTTTAATTAAAATATTTATAATAATCCATTAGATTAAAACAAAATAAACTGCTTACATTAAGTATTATTAATTCCACTACTCTAAAACCTACATTACATTAGACTAAGTGGCTCACTAGTTGTAAGAAAGTCAAACTGTTCTAGGAGAAAATACTGTCAATAGTTTTCAGATGCTATGTTGATCTAGGAAAACCAAAGCTTTGGTTACACTTAAAACTTATTATCTATAAATAAGAAATATCAATTAACAAATAATTAAGAAATGAGATATTTTACATGAATTGATCACATATTCCAATTAACAGACTCGCATTCCAATTAACAATATTTTAAAATAATTATTTAAACACCAATGGCTGTAAATATTCCCTAGAATATATTAGCATATAATCATGCTTTTGTGTTCAGTGTTATGTAATAAAAGAGTATGTGTTAACTAATTTTAAAGGGCTTCAAAGTTATCACTTAGTATTAACTTTACAGTATTAAAGCTGCCATTGTTGGGCATTTACTATTCTTTCGTCTCTGTTACTCTATTTATTTGAGGTTTGATGATAATAAGATATAACCACAGAGTCTCTGCCTCTCAAATCCCCAGCTCAGTACTTTAATAACTTAAGGAAATGTGTCATTTCAAATAGTTTATCAGTTACTCAATCACATTGAGAATCAAGAATTCTGAGTTTGCTTTTAAGTTTATTAAATTTGTAAATTTCCAATAGGATTTGTAAGCAATGAAATGCTTACTTGTCTATATATATTTATTATAGATTGCTTTTTAAAATATGACACTGTTCATTTTTTGAAACTGCATACTATTTCTCAGACAGTAGATGCATTAAAAAAAAAAAAAAAAAAAAAACTAGCTTGAGACAGAAGTTAGAAAACTTTCCAATGCTGTTTGCTGAGCTGCCTGGTTTGCTGGGCATCATTAGGGAGTGAGTTTCTATACTTAGACAGATTTATAAAACAGAAGCTTATTTAATCACTCCAAGTGTTAACTGTTATTATATTTATGCTAACATTTCTAAGATGCCTTATGTTTTCCAGTTACCTAAATAAAGTCTTAAGTATAATCGAACTTTTTAATCTCAGGATTATTACAAATTTCAATTCTTGAACTATGCTAAAATGCTTATATGTGTAGACTACTGGCTTCCACTCAAAATGGCCCTAGTGAGTTCTGCTGAAAAATTAAAAAGGAGACAGAAATTTTATTATGTATTATATTAGGCCATTATTTCTCACCACCATCACTGTGCCCTTCTCAAATAACCTGCTGTCTAATACAGATGGTTTGAATAATGATTTCTTCTTTCATATAGATTGATTTTTCTTTAAAATTGGAGCAGTAGTTAGTTCCTCTAAGCCTTTTTCTATCGACTTTCATGTTCAAAGCTTTGTTCACAATAGTTTAATTATGTTAAAGTTTCCTATTATAACTGTAAAAATCACAGACGTAAATAACACTGTGAGATGTTCCATGAATACACATAACATAATCAACATAAATTTCAGTTACTGTACCTGTGTAATTGAGAGCTCTTGTTTAACATTTTTGAAGTGAGAAGTCATAGAATTAATTCGCTCTTCATAATCACGTAACTGATCTTGCAAGCTTGCTCTTTCATTCTTCAGCTTTGACAACTGTACATAATAAATGCTACAATTAACCAAAGTCCTATTAAGTTTTACCATATGAAGGACCCAAAGTCAAAGAAAATTAAACTTTCATTCACTTTGTGTCTTAGTCAATTTGGGCTATCACAAAAATATCATAGACTAGGTAGATTAAACAAAATGTAATTTGATTCATGAGAAATTCCTCACAGTTCTGAAGGCTAGGAAGTCCAAGATCATGGTGCCAACTAATGTTTTTACTGGTGAGGGCTCTCTTTCTGATTTGCAGACAGATGCTTTCCTGGTGTGTCTTCACATGGCAGAGAGAGATCATCTCTCTCTTGTCTCTTCTTAAAAGGACATCATTGGCCGGGCGCGGTGACTCACGCCTGTGGTCCCAGCACTTTGGGAGGCCGAGGCGGGTGGATCACGAGGTCAAGAGATCGAGACCATCCTGGTCAACATGGTGAAACCCCATCTCTACTAAAAATACAAAAAAATTAGCTGGGCATGGTGGCGCGTGCCTGTAATCCCAGCTACTCAGGAGGCTGAGGCAGGAGAATTGCCTGAACCCAGGAGGCGAAGGTTGCGGTGAGCCGGTATCGCGCCATTGCACTCTAGCCTGGGTAACATGAGTGAAACTCCGTCTCAAAAAAAAAAAAAGGACATCATTTTTTATTTTATTATTTTATTTATTTATTTATTGCATTTTAGGTTTTGGGGTACATGTGAAAAACATGTAAGAAAAATAAAATGAAAAATAAAACAGTCAAAAAAAAAAAAGAAAAATTGTGCCCAGCACCCTACATACCCTAGCGGCAGCCCAGCTTGCAGCAAATCCAGGTATGGGCAATGTTTTCAAATAAGTTAGATTCATTTTCATTTTGGTCTCTTCCCTGGATTATTGATTACAGATTAAATATTTTTGGCTTATTATTGCAAAAAAAAAAAAAAAAAAAAAAAGAGCACCAACACCATTCATGAGGGTTCTGCCTCTATGACCTATTTACTTCTCAAAGACTTCACCTCCAAATACCATCACATTGAGGATTGAGACCACCATATGAATTTCCAGAGGACACAAACAATCAGAACAGAGCACTTTGTTTCTTTAAATGTTCACATGAACTTCTAAAATCTACTAATTCTTTAGTAAAAAATAGTGTGATTTGGTGATGACTGTGGGGAAAATCAGCACCATATTACACGGAATAGAAATCTCTCTTATATTTACTTTTTGTCTTAATGATTGAATTAAAAAAGCATTTAAAGCTATATGTTTTCATTAAAAAAAATTTTTGCGGTTTCCCATGGATCTGGAGCATGAAGCTGTCCCTTTTTATTGTTTTCTAAAAGGTAACTTATCCTTTTCAATTTACTTTTTATATAAGGGCCACCTAGGAATATTTCTCAGAAACATGCCTAAGTATTTAATATGGAGGATCATTTAAAATTATTTAATAAATAATTTTTAAAAATGATTTTTCAATATTATAAATTCTATTGGCTTATCATCAGATAATGTGACCTATAAAATGTCTGTCTGCATAGCATTTTAGGGATTATAACTTTTTAGTGTTGGTAAAATATTCAAGAACATAAAATTTTCCATTTTAACCATTGCTATGTCAAAGTTCAGTGGCATTAAGTACGTTCACATACAACCATCACCACTAATCCACCTACAGAACATTTTCATCTTCCCTGAGCCTCTACACACATAAAGCACTAACTCCCCATTCCCCGCTCCTCTCAGCCCCTGGCAACCACCATTCTACTTTCCATCCTTATGAATTTGACTACTACTCTAGGTTCCTCATATAAGTGCAATCACGCAATATTTGGCCTTTTGTTTCTGGCTTATTCGCTTAGCATAATGCTTTCAAGTTTCACCGTTCACTTTTAATGCATTAAGATTTTTGTTTTGGTCTAGTACATGATCCACTCTTGTAAATGTTTTATGGTGTATGTTTTATGGCATGTTTTAAGGTGTATGTTCTCTATTCAAGAGATAGATGTCTCTTTGTGTTTATTTTTATTATCACATCTCTTGTATTCTTATTTTTGTCTAGTAGAGTTGTCTAATTCTGAAGCACAACTGAATGAAACAGCTCACTGTAACTGTAATTTTGTCAAAGTCTACTTGCATTTATAATACCTCTTGCATTTATGTAATTAGCTGTTGTGTTTGGTGCATACAGCTTTATGACTTTTATTTGCTTCATCCATTATGCCATTTATAATTGTATAATGTCCCCAGAGCAAACTTCTGACTTTTGAATGAAAGCATAATAATTAACTCCCCAAGTTGAAAAGCCTTTCTGCACAGAGTTATCAAAAAACATTTTATAGCTTCTTTCTTAAATATACAGGAGCATGTAGCAATAAATATCACCAGATATTTATTGAAAACTTACATCATGTGAAGGATGCCAAGATAAACAAATAAGATCTCAGAAGAAACATATAATTCAGGACAAAAAAGACAAGAACTAAACACATACACATTACACACACACACACACACACACACACACACACAATCAGATTGGAGAAAATATTTTACCCCTAAAAGGCGGCCATGGTGCTACAAAAAAGCAACAACCAGAGCTTGAAGATATAGCTCATCAATATAGTTCCCAAATAAAACATGTAAGGGAAAGATAGAACCCTAAATACCCTCAGATTTTTTTTTTAAGGTAAACTACAAAGAAACCGAAATCACACTAGTCAGATTACTCACTGAAACACGGCTGGAAGATAATTGATACATTCCAAACTCTGAAGTAAAATTATTTTCAACTTAAGAGTCTTCTACCCAGCCAAACCACCAAATGTGAGTATAAATAAAGATATTTTCAGACATTCAAAGATGCAGTGTTTCTGAATACAGCCTTCTCAGGGAGACACAAGAAACTATTCCATCACAGCAAGAGAATAACACAGACTTCATTTTGTTGCACTTCACTTGATTGTGCTTCTCCAACAGCACATTTCTAACAGAGTGAAGGTTTGCAGCAAGCCTGTGTCTAGCAAGCCTGTCAGCACAGCTTTCCCAACGGCAGGTGCTTATTTGGCATCTCTGTGTCCCATTTTGGTACTTCTTACAATATTCAAAACTTTTTCATTATTATGATATCTGTTATAGTTATCAGTGATCTCTGATGTTACTATTGTTAATTGCTTGGGGTGCCACAAACTGTGCCCCATAAGACAATGAACTTAACCGAAAAATGCTGTGTGTGTTCTGACTGTGCCACTGATCAGGCGTTACCTCGTCTCTCTCCCTCTTTTTGGGCTTCTCTATTCCTTGAAACACATATTGAAATTAGGATGATTAATAACCTTACAATGGCATCTATGTGTAAAAATCAAAAACTAGAAATAATGGAGGCCAAAAGTTGACATAGGCCAAAAACTAGGCCTCCTGCATCAAACAGTTAACCAACTTGTGAATATGAAGGAAATGTTCTTGAAGGAAATTAAAAGTGCTACTCCCTTGAACACACAAATGCTAAGAAAGCAAAATAGCCTTATTGCTGATATAGAGAAAGTGAGGTAGGAGGTGAGTCTAGACTCCAGAGGCAAGACTCAGACAGCAGACCAAATTGAGGACTAGCTAAAACAGAGAGGAGGCAGAAGCAGCTTTCTATAAGACGTGCTCACCAGTACGCCATGTTAGTTCACCTTTGCCATGGGCAACATCCAGAAGTTATTACCCCTTGAGCTGGGCGCAGTAGCTCACGCCTGTAATCCCAGCATGTTGGGAGGCCGAGGCGGGCAGATCACTTGAGGCCAGGAGTTCAAGACCAGCTTTGCCAACATGGCAAAACCCATCTCTACTAAAAATACAAAAATTAGCCCGGCATGGTGGCACACAACTGTAGTCCCAGCTACTCGGCAGGCTCAAGTAGGAGGATCACTTGAGCCTGAAAGGCAGAGGTTGCAGTGAGTTGAGATCATGCCACTGGACTCTAGCCTGAGCAATAAAATGAGACCGTCTCAAAAACCAAAACAAACAAATGAAAATAACAGGGAGTCTTCCAGACTTGGCTTCAGATATGCTGGTCTCTCTTCCCAGAACATTTTCCTTCCCTAATGGCTAGTTCCTTATTATTGTTCAGGGCCTCATATTCTTCAGTTTGTATATGTTTAGAGAGGCCTTCCCTGCCCATTTAATTCAATATAGCTTTTCCCAGTTATTTTCTCTCATGGCAACTTTTCACATTTAGTAATTACCTTCAAACAACTTAGCACAAGTAGTGATTATGTTTTCATTTGCTTGTTTATTTTCTATCTTTGCTACTAGATTATAAGATGCACAACAGGAAACATATGCATTTTGAAAAATGTTTTGCCTAAGCTTAGTGGCAAGAAGCATATGCACTTTGTTCACACTATATTCAGAATCTAGAGTAATGCCTGGAACATAATAGCGCTCACTAAAAATCCATAGAGAGAACAGATATGACAAGAGAATGACAAGAGTTTTACATTTGTATGTAGCTATACCTGTCCGTCTTTTCTTTGGTGATTTTTATGTTTTGTGCTACACTGAGGAAGGCCTTTCCCAGAAGATTATTTTAAAAGTATTACTGGGTATATATCTAAAGGATTATAAATCATTCTATTAAAAAGACACAGGTACATGTATGTTCACTGCAACACTGTTTACAATAGCAAAGACCTGGAACCAACCCAAATGCCCATCAATGATAGACTGGACAAGGAAAATGTGGCACATATACACCATGGAATCCTATGCAGCCATAAAAAATGATGAGTTTGTGTCCTTTGTAGGAACATGGATGAAGCTGGAAACCATCATTCTCAGCAAACTGACACAAGAACAGAAAATCAAACACCACATGTTCTCACTCATAGGCGGGTGTTGAACAATGAGAATGCATGGACACAGGGAGGGGAGCATCACACACTGGGGTCTGTTGGGGGTGGAATAAGGAAGGGACAGCGGCGGGTACGGAGGTTGGGGAGGGATAACATGGGGAGAAATGCCAGATATAGAT